GGGGGGGGCAGCTGTTGGAGAGAAGGGAGAGAGAGAGAGAGAGAGAGAGAGAGAGAGAGAGAGAAGGAGGGAGGCAGATGGAGGTGGGGGAGACGGAGTGGAAGAAATAATCGGGGAGCGTCTAATAAGGGTGTGCTCTGTTTTCATGTCATGGACCTTTGGCATTGCATTTCATCCCGTTGATGCTTGCGCGTATCATCAGGTAGGATTAAGTAAGGTCAACAGTCAGCGCAAAGTGAATACGTCTTGGACGAAATCTACAGCCCAAAGGGACTGCCTGGATCATTTTCAGGCAGTGAATTCTGTGTTCAAGGGAAAAAAAACAAAACAAAGCATCACTAGTGGTGATTTTCACGCTCATGTCCGTATTTGGAAGATTGGAGAGGCGACGACTCGTCAACGGTGAAGGATGCTAACCTACCTGGCGGTCCCTCATTGGGCCTTGCTTACCGGTCTTCGACACACCTGGCGGCCTCGCACAACTCCCAGCGTTTAGGATGTGAACGGGGCCGTGATGGATTCATTTGTGAGGAGACACAAATCTGCGCGGTTCACAAGGCAGGAATGATATGTGCATGGAAGTGCATTGAAAGGCCCAAGTGGCGCTTCCTGTCCCTCGACGGTGTGACACATTCAGTTGCAGGAGGCGAGAGTGCAGCGAGCCTCCCCTCCCCCACCGACACAGTCATGTGACGTCATTTTTTCCCCTGGATGCGAGGAGGAAGACAGAATGAAGTGCTAGCATCCTCCCCTCGCACGAATTTACCCAATTATTTGATTCTGCTGCACTCAAGCACTCAACACACCGATGCCCTCCTCATATCCATTTTTTGTCTCACACGGTGTATGCCAAGATTTGCATCAAGGTTTTCTTGTGTTCCACGTTTTTCTTTTGTCTTGCCTGTCATGAGCCTATATTTCCATACCCGTCTGCTGTCTTATGCTAATACTATCGGCCCATTTCTGCACCCTGGCTTCCTTTTGTTGTACATAGCAGATTTTTGCACCTTGGTTTCCTCAAGTCTTACAACGTATAGGCCCGTATTTACATGTAGCTGTCCATTGCACCTTATACAGTATGAACCAGATTCCTCCCATTCATAGATGAGGGAAAAAGCGTGCAGTCATATGGTTTTCTGGCTGCGCATCATCTCCCTTTGATTCGTCTGTCGTGAGCACGCCTTCATACTCAATTTGCATTCTGGGTAAAGTAATCCTTAAAAGGGGCTGCTCCCTGTGCAATCAAGTACTTTTCCTCTTATGTGTTTCAGAAACTCCAGGTAAGATGTAGTCATACTTTATGCCACACATTTTAATCATGTCTAAAACAAACAAAAAAAAAGGACTTACAGAACGCTATCAAATGTATATAAACTGCTTCTGTCATAGTTTATTTGTTGTTGTTTTCTTTTTTGGTCAGATGGGATGCGGATGCAGGCAGGAAGAACCAGCATCTGCCTGTACACTGTCTCCTAACCCCCCCCCGCCCCCCAAAAAAAAAGCCCACTAGCTAGAGCTTCTTAAAGGGAAGACAACCCCCATTTTTTCTTTACAATATATTCTATGTGCCACCACTAGTGATATTCTGATTAATAAAGTGTTTGTGATGCGCCTGCTTAATCTATCTCAGGGAACGGCCGTTTTGCCAGTTGCTCTCGACCGACAAATGACGTCACAGTTGCTCAGGGCTCTGGTAACGATCAGTCTCGGCTCAGCTTGCGGACGTCACATGACCATACGCAAACAGGTGAGTTTTTCTTGGTGTTGCAGAGGATAAGCCTTCAAGATATTTCCATAGTTTGTCTATTGTGTCAAGCTGCTCTCACACAGGTACTTGCATTCTCTGGTCCAAATTAGTTGATGGGTTTGTCCACCTTGGTTCTTTTGGCGAAGGACTAAAAATATGTCAAAACAAACCACGAGCCTTCTCTTGCTGGTCATAAGAATGTAAAGGAAGGCTTGCTGTACAGATGAGCAAGTGACAAGCAAACAAAGCAAGCACGTGTGTGGCAAAGATTATTTCCCACAATTGCTCCAAAAATGTTTTCTTATTGACTATGTGTATTTTTGTTAATCTACAGTCACGGATGGTGACAGGCAGAAGAATTAAATGCTCCTCCACTATATGGCAGAATGTACATTTTACCTGAAGCCCCGTTTATTTGCGTTTGGACATTTGTGATTGTCGATTTTTGTTTGGTTTGTTTTTGTAACCTGTCCTCCGGCATTCACTGAAAATCCTCGTTGCGTTTGTACTCCGACCAGAGCGTTTAAATAAACTATCAGTTTGGCGCCATCTGGTGGAATCTTTGCGGTGGCGTTGTTAGGTTTCATCCAGTCCGTGTAATTTTCGTCGTGTTTGAAATGTCCTAGTTTGTTGTCGGTCCCTGAATGCATTTTGTGCGTCCTCAAAAGTTAAACCAACAGAGGGCGCTCAAAACCGCTCTGAAGTTTTGTTTGACAACCACAGAGCTCAGAATTAGGCACTGCCCAATTAAGCAACCAGTTATCTTTAATTATATAGTTATTTCTTGTCATAGATGACCACGATGAAAGAACAAACGTCATAAAACACGAAATGTCAATCAGAACTAAGCAATGTTATATTTGTAAAGGCATATATCGACGTGTATCTCATCAGAGTGTGCTGGTGTACCTAATGTTGTGACCTATGACTATGAGAGTACAGGGAATGTGATAGGTTGAACAGTAACTGATTTATTTCAGTGGGGGGGGGCACAAAAAATCACTATGAACACCCAGGGTTATAATATAATATAAAATAAAATAGAATTTAAAATAAACAGTGAAGCGAGATAGCAAGACCATTGAAACTCACTATGCTGTCCGCCTCTGCTAAAATCAGCGACATCCTTACTTAAACAGATCACTCAATTCTCCCCATGAATAGAAATTATAAGCAATATGACATAGTCGGAATTTGGTGCAGTTTCTTGTGTTTACTGAAAAAAACAACAAAAAACGGAAAAAAACAACTTGGGGCATTATATTTGAATGTTTTCTTATCAGCTAAAAGCAACTCTCTCTCTCTCTCTCTCTCTCTCTCACACACTTAAACACACAGCATGTATAAACCAGTAGGGTACACATTCACGGTGAAGGTTGTCAGACAATGGCGAGCGCTAATTGCAACAAGTTGGTTGCACACACTTTCCCTCTTAATGCCAAAAGCAAAAGTTTCCTCTTGTGTCCTCAGTCCTCATTTGTTTCACGGCTGATTGGTGAACAAAGAGGCAACAAGCCACTTTCACCCCATGATTACGCTTCTAATCCCACCGACTGATGGGATAACGTTTAGGGGAGTTAATGAGGAGGTAACAAGTCATTCTCTGAGGGCACGGGAGGAAGTCCGCCAAGTTAAGCTGCTTTAGGTGTAAGAAAGACCCTCGGCGTTTACTTTGTGTTGATGGAAAACACGTTTGCTGAAGGCCAATTGGCTAAATGGAGTGCCTTGCTTTCGCCAGTCATCAACAACTTGTCTTGTGTGATGATTTGTATCCTTTTTAACTTCCTCCAGTTGTTGCCTTTTGTTTTCATTATGATCGTGCGTGGCCGCTAGAGGACACTTCACTGCTATCTTCTGTTTGAATACACAGGCTACTCATTGGGCAGCACGGTGGTCGAATAGCGCAGAGGTGATGGGGTTCATGTTGGACTCCGGCTTTCCTGTGTGGACTTTGCATGTTCTCGCCGTGCCTGTGTGGGTTTTCTCCGGGTATTCCGGTTTCCTCCCACATTCCACAAACATGCGCGGTAGGTTGATGGAGCGCTCGAAATTGTCCCGACGTGTCAGTGCAGATGGTTGTTCGTCGATGTGTGCCCTGTGATTGGCTGGCGACCAGCTCAGGGTGTACCCTACCTACTGCCCCCAAGTCAGCTGGAAAAGGCTCCAGCACACCCTCGTGAGAAGCGGATGGATGGATATTACGAGGTAAGTTAATGTGTTACTGTTTTCACTATGAAAGGAAATATTACTTACTTTATGAAATGCGTGTATGTGTGTGTCTGTGTGTGTGTGTGTTGCTTTTTCCTTTGCTCTTTTTTGTGGCTTTTTTGCAGCACTTACTCAATGTCGACTGAGATGCAAATGCTCCACGTGATTAGCTTTTAGCAATCTTCCATCGATCGTTATTCCCATTAAAGAAAGGGGCACCCTGAACAAGGCGTTAAGAGGAGGAGGTTTGTTTTATTCGCAGTAGTTAGTGTTGCAGGTGTGTGAGACTGTAAAAAAAAAAAAAAAAATCAGTTACAGCGGAGCCTTGAGATATGACTGACCTGACGTATGACCTATTTGCTTTGACTTGTGAGCAAAATTTTGTGGAACGAGTGCCGTTTGGTGCGAGTCGGCTCAACTCATGCAGCAATTAGTTAGATAGCGGACAATTTTCAAAAGTGACTTCAAGATGGTTATCGCCACTCCCAGCTGAAGTTTACTCTCAAACTAAACATAAAACAAAAGAGAATCACGTTTGTATTTAAAACAACCGCATAACTTTGCCTTAAAGTCGGCCGGCTTCATTCCAACAGATTATGCTAAATGCTCTAGATGGGTACCTTCTCAAAAAAAAAAAAAAAAAAAAAAAGGGATTTTCTTTCCATGTAGAAGTGTAAAATAAATAGACAATGCTTGTTGCAATAGGTAAGAATGAAACAGAATGAAGCGAAATCTGAACATGATAGAAAGCTTTGCAAAGTTTGTGCCTGTCAAGTTGTTGCTCTCACAACGTCGGCCTTCCAATCCAATCCGTCTTCCCAAAGACGCAGCAGCCGTTTCCCCTCACCACGTCTTGCCAATAGATTGAATGTGTTCTTTGGCCTTCATCCTTAATGAGGCAATGCTGGATTTCCTCGGGTCTGGCGAGCACGGATAGGCCGACAGCGGCGGCGGGCACATGGAGCCCATCCGAGGCAGGTGGGGGGTGCACCCCAGGGCGGGTGCGTTGAGGAAGGAGGGCGGCACCGAGGGGGGAGGCGAGGCAGTGTAGGCGCCGCCGCCTCCTATGAAGCCCGGGAGTGACTGCAGGGTAGCCGAGGCCCCGATCGGCGAGGCCAACCAGGGTTCCAAAGAACCCGTGGTGGGGCCGCAGCCAAAAGAGAGTAAGGAGGCGGGGGCGGTGGTCTCCGGGAGCTTGATGGAGTTCACTTCCAGCTTTTCCTGCCGACGCCACTTAGCCCGACGGTTCTGGAACCAAACCTGGGAGCCATCACAGAGAGTTCAATGCAACTGTATTCATCCTCCAGAAAGTTGCCAAAACATTCTGTGCGCCCACACAATTAAAAAGAAAAAAATTTTATTACTATGCACAACACTATGTAGTACATGCAGTTTTGCAAACCAATATTATGATAGAACTATTATTAATATACATTTTCCCCACGCAGTCCTGCCAGACTTTTCCCCAATAATTTGATTAAGTACAATCTCTTTTTTATTCTTTCTTTCTTTCTTTTTTTTTGTGTGTGTATATGTGTGTGTGTGTGTGTGTGTGTGTTTGTTCTGCAAACGTTTTGAAGCCAAGAGCTACTACTTGCACACAGATTAATACACACCAACAAATTTTGCTCAAAATACCTTCAGGATGTACGTCGTTAATCTTAAGCATGTACGTTTATGTGAAGACACTCACGCTCGTGTTTTATCGCGATAATTAGGAAACAGAAGACTTATAAATATGCAACTCTGTAGTTTGTCAAACTCTCTGCCGGTGTTTGCATTTTCAAATGATCACTTATGCCACATTCCGAGAAAAATGACAATGCCACACCTCTGGTGAGCTATTTTTAGGACAAGGCCTGCTGACTCCTTTTGCGGTCTTGACATCAACACGAGAACAACGTTCAGGCGTGAAAAGCAATGCGGTTTACTGAGCGTTTTTCGGGATGCTTTCTAATGGCCCAAAAAAAAATTTTTTAACTTGATGTTGAAACCACACCGGCGCTTCTTTGATTTGAGAAATGACTAAAATAAATCCAGCCGTTTCTCATACCTGCACTCGGACCTCGGGCAAGTTGACTTTGAGGGCCAGCTCCTCTCGGCTATACACGTCCGGGTAGTGGGACTTCTCGAAGGCTCGCTCCAGTTCGTGCAGTTGGAAGGTGGTGAAGGTGGTCCGGTTGCGACGGTGCTTCTTTTTTGGGTTCTCGTCGTCCGACAACTTGCAGCCTTCCCGCTCCGGCGAGTCCGGACAAGGCGCGTCACCAACGCCGACGGCGCTCGGGCAGCACATGCCTGCAGCAAGAAATGTAATTATTATCCTTGGTGGATTTTCTACGCGGATCAAATCGTCAAGGAAGGGTCGACCTAAAACAAGGGAAATTCATTCATATTGGCTACATTAAAAAGCGAACCAAAAAAAAACAAAAAAAAAAACGGAACTATAGCAAAATAATCAAAACAAATAAGACGAATTGCACCGAGTAAATTAATATATTTACGAAAATTAAAAGGGAACGAAATTTTGTTCATAAAACGGTTTAATAAAACGAAGTTTAATACATAACTAAAATGAACGTTGAGAGTATAACCGCAATTGAAGGAGTAAAAACGAAATGAAATACACGTTTAAATACATTTAAAAATAAACTAGAAAAAACCCTCAAACGTAATCAAACAGAATTAAGTAGTAAAATATAAAAAACATTTTAATAGATCAAAATAAACTGCATTAAAACTAAAATATGTATCCAACAAAAATGAAATGAACGAAATCAAAAACATGTCACTAGAACAAATGAAGTAATAAAATGAAATACAACCAACTTTAATTTAGAAAAAGTACAACATGGAATGATTGAAAATGGAACAAAATAATTACACAAAATGCAAAGCAGACTTTGGATAAAATAAAGCCAAAATAACATCAAACCATCAACGCAAAAACAAACAACCCAACGACGTTACGGCGAATCCAATTCGATCGAACGTACCGTCCAAACTTTCTGCGAAGTGACTTTTGTGACTTTGTCGAACGCGCCGCTGCTCCTGCGCGTCTTTGCCTCCGACTTTGGCGGGCAAGCTGCAGGCGGTCGACCTGTGGAACAGGAGGTCCTCCTTGAAGCCCAGGATGGCCTCGATGCTGTGCACCCTGGCCGGGTTGCCCGGTAGCTGCTGCTGGTGTTGGTGTTGGGCGAGGGCGCGAGCGGAGGGGGACTGCTGCAGTCGCTCGTCCATCATCATCATGGTCATCATCCTCTTCCTCCTCTGGGAAGGCGGTCCGATCAGCCACATGGGTCGGCGGGGGACTAACAAAGATGTCATGATAGTTGCGTGGAGCAGCCTCCGGCTTTTAAACTAACGCCCACCGGCCCACCCACCCACCTGTTCCACTCTTCCGACGTCACAGAAGGGGGGACGTCCCGGATTCTGGGACGGGGAGGGGGGAGGGGGGGGACAAATGTGCAGCATGTGTAAAACCTACTTACATCAATCTTCAAACCATCTTTCTGCTCCTCCAGATGTCATGTTCATGTCAGTCTGAGAGCGAGGAAAGAAGGAAGATTAGGATTAAGGTACAACAAAATCATAATTACAAGATTTCTTGCCAGCATTGCTATCTTAAAAGTTCGTTCAAATGGTTGCCAAACTGAATCGAGGTCTCATTAATTGAGTTAGGTGGGGCGTGATTGGTATTTGTAGCCTGAAAACCACTGCCAAAAGAAAAAATGCAATCGCTTTGGCCCATCCAATTGAACTATATCGGAGTTACTTGAGGAAATTCAATCAGACAAAAATATACCTTTTGCCACAGTTTTGTGGCCAAATAAAGTTCGACAAACCGTTTTAGAGGGAGGCGTCAACTGCGGTAAGTGCGTGGACCCTCCCCCTGGGAATCATACAATAAGGACAATTTTTAGAGATAACCATTTAGGAGCAAACAAAGATTGACAGGAGTGTGGTAATCCCGCTTAAAGGGGGATTACATGATGTTGCTCAAAAGAGTTAAAACCCGCTAAAACTATTTAGCTTTTCCTAATTGCACAAGGTGACCTCATCCTTTGTGGGTTTGCCAAAGGACGAGGAGGGGGGGTGGCGGGGGAGAGATGCTAATTAACACAGCAGGGTCAATGTACAACTTCCTTTTTTGTGTTTTGGTTCATTTTTGGCTTGTTTTGCAGGGTCACAGACATTTGGTGACACAAGCGAGTGAACACGGAAGAAAATATGACGACTGTAACAGCTCCCGCTCTTTTTGGAACACTTTGGGTAAGCTTTTCAAATCTTTGTTTGCCCTGTTTGTAAGGAGGCTATTACCGACGTTGCTTTATGCACTGGGGCACCAATAAAAAAAGAGCCTTCACCAAACTTTCAGCTTCAATTGTCCAAGAAATGAAGACTCAGCAAAGCCAACCTCTAATTGTTTATTTGAGTGATTCAATAATCCATTTATTGGGTATTGTTTTCATGAAGTCTCGTTCATCCATCAGCACTTTAATTACTTTTAAATGCCTTTGAAACGACTGAATTGGCACTCTACAAAGGCTTACAAATGTCAACGCCAAGAACCAGAAAATATTGCTTTTATTTATATATATATATATATATATATATATATATATATAAATTATTTTTATATTTTACCTCATTTCGCGCCTGGAGATCAAAAGTGTCTCAAAATATGAGCATTTCATAAGCCTTTCTAAGGAGAGCTTTGAGGAGTCACAGGTCACACATTGGGCAAAAATATGAACACACACGGATGACGGCTGGATGGAGTGGGAGGGGCCGTCCGACAAGCTGCGCCCGTGTGATCCTATTAGATGTTAATCTTCAGACTGCAAATCCGCAGCCGCTCAAACTTGGGCTGCTGTGAAACACTGTTGAACGTATAACACCCCCCAAACACACACACACCCTTGGCCCCGAGCACCTTCCCCCCCAGCCCAACTCACCCCTAATCGTCCCCTCGTTGACAAGTGTTTGGATAATGCCCAATTACATTAAAACCGTCCCTCCACCAGGTATTAATCGCTCTTATTTTGATCATCTTTAGTGGCCGCGCGGAGCCTCGTCTTGAATGCATTTCAAAATCCAATTAAGGATTTGAAACGTGATCCCGTCATGTTGAATCAAACATAAATGCAATCATGCGATAGTTTCGCCTTCCCTTAATTGACTTATGCAAATCCCATGATTCGGTGAGAATCGAAATATCGCGGGGAGGGAAAAAACATCACAATACTTATTAGTCCGTATTTGTTAAAACAGCTTTCTCAAAACAGGTGGGTAAAAAAAACAAAAAACAATCGGGGTCAAAAAGGTCATCTGACCCAACTTCCTTAGTTGTTTTGTACAACAAAATGACCCAATTTTGGTTTGTGACCTGCCCATTGTCAATCGAGAAGTCATCTCCAAAGAGAAATCAGAAAGCAGCCAACACGCACAGAAGTACTGCATCATACACGTCTTTATTCCATCCACACCTTCACGTCACTTGTTGGACTCGCACGGTACAGTCCTGCGATGTTGCAGAGTCGTATTTGGTACACACTGTAGATTGCAAACCAAGGTGAGAAAATTCGAGGGATTTTATTGTCGATATTTGATTGATACCATCTCAGTATATTTCCGAGTGGGTTGTTTTAGGTGTGTTACAATCAAGGAAGAAATTTGCCTCCCCGCCTTCCCGATTCTTAAACTAAACATACATCGTACCATGCAAAGGTCTTTAGACCACCACTAGCTTTGTTCTTGTCAAAACAAAAAAAAACAAACAAACAAAAAACATCTTTAATGCAACGTATGAATAGTAGGACAGATAGCAGGATCAAGTTAACCACAAAAACAAATCCCACAAAATTGACTCTACTTTTTTGGTGAGGCTCTGGATTAAGGTGCAAATAACAGGAAGTTTTTCGTAGTGGTCACACACGGATCTGCTCGAGATCCAGGAAGTAGTGCGCTAGTTAATAAACGGATGGATAAAACAAACACAATAATTTTACTTATTTATCTTTTTGTTAACAGTTCGCCTTGGCGGAAGTCGTCGCGCGACTTCCCGATTGGCTGCTTTCGATCGCTACAAGAAGAAATCCAACGGTGGCTTTTGCACAGCAGCTTCTTCCTCCCCCCATCACTTGAAGGTTCCCTCACATGACGGCGCACTTCTCCTCGGCTTTGGTCTTGAGCTCGGTGACTGTGGCCGACGCCTTCTCCTTCAGCTGATCCATGTCCATGTTCTGCAAGTTCTGAATCTGGCCCATGAGGGAGTCCTTGCCCTCCTCCTCGGTGGCGTCCTCGTCCACCATCTTGAGCAGCTCCTCGGGCACGTCCACGTCGTCGCCGGCCATCTCGATCATGTTCTCGTCCTGCTCGCTCTGCGGCAAACAACGGTAAACAAACGCTTGCGCTTAGGTTGGTATCCGTACGTGTTGGCGTGATGATGTGAGATTTTCCGACATGCCCCGCCCTATTTGTCAGGAAATGATGCAAGAGTCCAAATAACAAAATCGCTTGGCCTTCACAAAAAAAAAAAAAAAAAAAAAAAAAAAAAAGAATAAAACATGTGACTTTCAGGTCCAATGATGGGGATTAGTCCCGGCCCGCGGTCTAAAGATAACGTCCACGAGTCGCACGAGACGCTAATTCCATAAGACGACCGACGACTTCCTGTTAGTCAGTGAAAGTATTTACCTCTTCATTTAACCCCCCCCCCACACTTCCCCCTGCTTTCAATAATGAATCCATTGTATCCTCTTATTATTGTCGCCATGCCGCAAATGTATTTCGCTTTAAATAAAGACACGGCGGCCTCTGTTGTTGCGCATACAATGTAAAGATCATTCGAGCGGAATAATTAGATTTATACATTGATGTGCTTTAAAAAAGCCACAGAGCGACTATTGTTTTTTTTCATTTTTTTTTCCCCATCACGCAATAGCGGACAAGGTCGCACGCATGCATTAAAATCACACTTTTTAAATAGAGTTTCCCTATTGTTGTGTGCATTAGAAGCTGTATTCAAATTATAAATGACATACATACCTTTTGTGCTCCCCCCATGCCGACTATATCTTCCGTATTCGTCCTTTTTTTTTTTTTTCCTCTCTCTGTTTGGATATTACGCGGTAGGAGAAGTCCAATTTCATGGGCTGATGCAATAGCGAGTGATCCTGGGATCTGTGCTCTGTGGACTTTTGGCTTCTACGAAAGGTCAACACCTTTCTCTTTTTAAGTATTGAGCAACAACATTGAGAAACCAACAAAAAGTTCAAAAAAAAAATCTTTGATCAAGAAAAATCTATCCCGAAATGCATTAGATTCTAAACAACTATACGAACCCAAATACTGCCTTCCAATTAATAGTCCGCATTTTGGGAGAGGCGTCAAGACATGAAAATCCGTCCTGGATTTCAAAATAAAAGTGTGCTTGATGAACTCCCTGTGCCATTCCACCTTTATCATTCAAACACAACCTTTTAAACCAAAGGGCGGCCTCGTTTATTGTAATTGCAGTCTTAGGATGATGAGGACTTTGCTTACCTTCGGCAGCCTGTACTTTTCCCTGAGGCACACCCTCAACGTCGCCCTCTCAGCCTTCTTGTGCAAGAAATCCGCATCTCTCTCCATCCTGAAACATATTCATTCATTCAATTATGGGCCAACCTGCAGGGAGTAGGCTTCATAACCAACAGGGGTGCCACCACATCCCATTCTGCAGGTGCGCCATAATAGGAAGGAAGGAGCAGTTTTTTGTTTTTGTTTTTTAGGGGGTGGGGGGGTTACCCAACAACGTCGTTAGATATGGTAGTGTATTGCATTTGTGTGATCACATGCGTGTACGCGTGAGTAATTAATCACCGAAACAATCTAATGCCCAATAACTGCTCGAGTGAGCCGATGTTAGGTTAACCCTCCCCCGCTAGAAAAGTAAACTTTCTTGTCCCGCGTTTGACTCTTGTGCAACATTTCTTTGAGGTGAGTATTCGTCCCTTAGCCAATTAAAGATTAGGATTATCAAACCAGACTGGGAGGAGCACGTTTAAAATAGCAATAAAACACAAACATATGCGCACAGGCTGTTTGGTTTGTTCTTGAAACATTGGGCATACCGCCTAAACTTCAGAGGAAATGTTATAAAAATCCTACAAAAACATGTAATCTGCACAATAAATGTTATGATGATCATAAAAACATATATATATTGAGTTGATTGAGTCTATATTTTTGTCATAAATTTCGGCATTTGGAGGAGTTTATGCAAACCCAAATGGCTCCAATATTGTTTCAAATGTTAAAAGAAATAATTTAATAAACGATTAAAAAAAAAAAGAAGAAAAAACACTTTCCTAACCACGAGAGGCTGATAAATCCCCTTATGTAATTTGGGTTGACGGGATTTACTTCGTGTTGTGGGATACTACCTTGATGCCCAAACTACCTCATCAAAAAAAAAAAAAAAAAATATATATATATATATATATATATATATATATATATATGAGTATTTTTTTGTCAATAATATGCCTGCACTCAAATGTAGCCTGGATGTTGTTTAAAAAAATAAATTACATCAACTGACTGAAATCAATTGAATCCATTCATTTTGTGATTGCTTACTCAAATTATAATGTGAAACGTCATCCAGAACTGAGGGGAAAAAAAAAATCAATGTCAGATTAAGGGAGATTATTGATCCACAAATACGCAGCATGTCGCCTGGACAATGTTAATGTTTTCTACATAAAATCTTTGACGCTTTAGATGTGATGACTTGCTATCGGATAGCAGAAGTGCAGTATTTACGCAAATCAATGTGAGATTGCGCTCGAGAAGGTCAACCCGCGCTAATCCAAAATGGAGGCCCTCACTTACTTCTCCTCCACCAATTGTTTCTGGTACTCCTCGTATTCCTCGCGCGTCATGCCCGCCGCCTTGGCCGGATCCGAGGGGGTGGCCTCCTCCTCCTTATCTCCTCCACCGCCCAGGCCCATTCCTGAAAGCGGGTTCCCGATCATGCTCTTGATTAAGAAAGCCATGGTGACTTGTCGCTTGTTCTTTTTTTTTTTCTTTTTCTTTTTAGGTGGTGGAGGGCGAGGAACAAAGAAAATGGTTTGGGTTGCTTTCCGTGCTCCGGTTCCTTTAGCTCCCCTGTAGCTGTCGAGCTAACCTGCTGCCTGTATATGCAACCAAGGACGCACTGATGACCAGCAACAAACATACACAATCCCTCACACACGTACACACTCAGTTGTGTGCTTTTGCCATAATCTGGATTAAATCCTGCGCAGCTCCACGATGCTAAGAGACAGATGGCCTGTTTACATATCTATTTTTAAATCAGGGAGGCCTTTCGGGCCGCTTGCACGTTTATTTTTATTTTTTTTATTGATTGTGCACCAAAAACCATGTTTTTTTTTTTTTTTTTTAAACAGAATTCGAGTTGAAACCCGAGATTGTTGATTTATTGAATTGGCGGAATACTCTCAGCGTTACGGTAGAGAGCCAAGCGGGATTACGGGTCTTGTTTATCCCTGCTGGAGCCTTTCTCCATGCCGTGCTGTTGTTTGAGGGGGAGAGGATGATTGACAGGTGGGAGAGAGAGGGAGGTAGCATTTGTGACTTCTCCATCATCATCATTACACATTGAGAACGACAAAGGGCTAACTAAATTTCGGTCATTTGCCGTTTATGCTGTTTTATTGGATTTGTGTAACACTGTGCCACTTCAAAACTTTAAGGAAAATACACCGATGTACAGTAAGACATTTTTAGCCGAAAAAAATTACCATGTATTGTGAGGCGTTTTTAGCTGAAAAAAAACGGCCATGTATATAGAAAGACGTTTTTAGCCAAAAAAAACGACCATGTATAGAAAGGCATTTTTAGCCGAAAAAAACGACCATGTATAGTAAGGTGTTTTTGGACGAAATTTTTAGCCGAAAAAAACGACCATATACAGTAAGGCATTTATGTCCGAAAAAAACGACCATGTACAGAAAGGCGTTTTTGGATGAAATTTTTAGCCGAAAAAAACGACCATGTATAGGAAGGCGTTTTTAGCCGAAAAAAACGACCATATACAGTAAGGCATTTATGTCCGAAAAAAACGACCATGTACAGAAAGGCGTTTTTGGATGAAATTTTTAGCCGAAAAAAACGACCATGTATAGGAAGGCGTTTTTAGCCGAAAAAAACGACCATATACAGTAAGGCATTTATGTCCGAAAAAAACGACCATGTACAGAAAGGCGTTTTTGGATGAAATTTTTAGCCGAAAAAAACGACCATGTATAGGAAGGCGTTTTTAGCCGAAAAAAACGACCATATACAGTAAGGCATTTATGTCCGAAAAAAACGACCATGTACAGAAAGGCGTTTTTGGATGAAATTTTTAGCCGAAAAAAACGACCATGTATAGGAAGGCGTTTTTAGCCGAAAAAAACGACCATATACAGTAAGGCATTTATGTCCGAAAAAAACGACCATGTACAGAAAGGCGTTTTTGGATGAAATTTTTAGCCGAAAAAAACGACCATGTATAGGAAGGCGTTTTTAGCCGAAAAAAACGACCATATACAGTAAGGCATTTATGTCCGAAAAAAACGACCATGTACAGAAAGGCGTTTTTGGATGAAATTTTTAGCCGAAAAAAACGACCATGTATAGGAAGGCGTTTTTAGCCGAAAAAAACGACCATATACAGTAAGGCATTTATGTCCGAAAAAAACGACCATGTACAGAAAGGCGTTTTTGGATGAAATTTTTAGCCGAAAAAAACGACCATGTATAGGAAGGCGTTTTTAGCCGAAAAAAACGACCATATACAGTAAGGCATTTATGTCCGAAAAAAACGACCATGTACAGAAAGGCGTTTTTGGATGAAATTTTTAGCCGAAAAAAACGACCATGTATAGGAAGGCGTTTTTAGCCGAAAAAAACGACCATATACAGTAAGGCATTTATGTCCGAAAAAAACGACCATGTACAGAAAGGCGTTTTTGGATGAAATTTTTAGCCGAAAAAAACGACCATGTATAGGAAGGCGTTTTTAGCCGAAAAAAACGACCATATACAGTAAGGCATTTATGTCCGAAAAAAACGACCATGTACAGAAAGGCGTTTTTGGATGAAATTTTTAGCCGAAAAAAACGACCATGTATAGTAAGGCGTTTTTAGCCGAAAAAAAAGACCATGTATAGTAAGGCGTTTTTGGCCGAAAAAAACAACCATACATAGTAAGGCGTTTTTAGCCGAAATTTTTGGCCGAAAAAAACGACCATGTATAGTAAGGCGTTTTTAGTCGAAAAAAACGACCATGTATAGTAAGGCGTTTTTAGTCGAAAAAAACGACCATGTATAGTAAGGCGTTTTTAGTCGAAAAAAACGACCATGTATAGTAAGGCGTTTTTAGTCGAAAAAAACGACCATGTATAGTAAGGCGTTTTTAGTCGAAAAAAACGACCATGTATAGTAAGGCGTTTTTAGTCGAAAAAAACGACCATGTATAGTAAGGCGTTTTTAGTCGAAAAAAACGACCATGTATAGTAAGGCGTTTTTAGTCGAAAAAAACGACCATGTATAGTAAGGCGTTTTTAGTCGAAAAAAACGACCATGTATAGTAAGGCGTTTTTAGTCGAAAAAAACGACCATGTATAGTAAGGCGTTTTTAGTCGAAAAAAACGACCATGTATAGTAAGGCGTTTTTAGTCGAAAAAAACGACCATGTATAGTAAGGCGTTTTTAGTCGAAAAAAACGACCATGTATAGTAAGGCGTTTTTAGTCGAAAAAAACGACCATGTATAGTAAGGCGTTTTTAGTCGAAAAAAACGACCATGTATAGTAAGGCGTTTTTAGTCGAAAAAAACGACCATGTATAGTAAGGCGTTTTTAGTCGAAAAAAACGACCATGTATAGTAAGGCGTTTTTAGTCGAAAAAAACGACCATGTATAGTAAGGCGTTTTTAGTCGAAAAAAACGACCATGTATAGTAAGGCGTTTTTAGTCGAAAAAAACGACCATGTATAGTAAGGCGTTTTTAGTCGAAAAAAACGACCATGTATAGTAAGGCGTTTTTAGTCGAAAAAAACGACCATGTATAGTAAGGCGTTTTTAGTCGAAAAAAACGACCATGTATAGTAAGGCGTTTTTAGTCGAAAAAAACGACCATGTATAGTAAGGCGTTTTTAGTCGAAAAAAACGACCATGTATAGTAAGGCGTTTTTAGTCGAAAAAAACGACCATGTATAGTAAGGCGTTTTTAGTCGAAAAAAACGACCATGTATAGTAAGGCGTTTTTAGTCGAAAAAAACGACCATGTATAGTAAGGCGTTTTTAGTCGAAAAAAACGACCATGTATAGTAAGGCGTTTTTAGTCGAAAAAAACGACCATGTATAGTAAGGCGTTTTTAGTCGAAAAAAACGACCATGTATAGTAAGGCGTTTTTAGTCGAAAAAAACGACCATGTATAGTAAGGCGTTTTTAGTCGAAAAAAACGACCATGTATAGTAAGGCGTTTTTAGTCGAAAAAAACGACCATGTATAGTAAGGCGTTTTTAGTCGAAAAAAACGACCATGTATAGTAAGGCGTTTTTAGTCGAAAAAAACGACCATGTATAGTAAGGCGTTTTTAGTCGAAAAAAACGACCATGTATAGTAAGGCGTTTTTAGTCGAAAAAAACGACCATGTATAGTAAGGCGTTTTTAGTCGAAAAAAACGACCATGTATAGTAAGGCGTTTTTAGTCGAAAAAAACGACCATGTATAGTAAGGCGTTTTTAGTCGAAAAAAACGACCATGTATAGTAAGGCGTTTTTAGTCGAAAAAAACGACCATGTATAGTAAGGCGTTTTTAGCTGAAAAAAAAGACCATGTCTTGTTAGGCTTTTTTGGCCGAAAAAAAACAACCATGTATAGTAAGGCGTTTTTAGCCGAAAAAAAA